GGGGGGGTATGGGGGTTGCCCAATTCAACCCGCTGTCCGAGAAGGAGATGGCGAAGTTGAGTCGAGGCAACATTGTTTGGAACTTTGTCACCGCGGGCCAGTACGTCGGGGACCAGTCCAAGATGGGGACCGAAAGTTGCGTTGCAACTTATGCGGCCACTTGTTTCAGGGGGGGTCGTCAAAGGCCGCACATCATTTCACGCAGTCGAAGTTCTACAAGGCTGGGGGGATGAGAGTTCTCGCGGAACTCTAGAACGGCACGGACTACACATTTGTGCCGTCCACTGCTCAGCAGGTGCAGAGGTGGATGGCAGACGAGGGCATACGGAACACGAGAGCGCCCGCGGGTGGTCAGAGACAGCGGATGGACGACGTAGAGAGGGATGACATTCAGGACGCCGTCGATGAGGAGGAGGGCCACGAGGGTGGGGCCAGGGAGGAGGCGGTTGCACACGAGGCAGACGAGGCAGTCGGAAAGCCTAACCTGCCAGGGGAGGAGGTGGTGATGACGTCGAGAGGCGTCGGTGGAGCGGGTCCTGCTACTAGGGCGCCGCGAGCTGAGGTGGACCGCGCGAGGAGGGAGAAGAGGACAGTGGGGCAGGCTGGCGTCGAGGTGCCAGACACGGGCAGGGAGAAGAGGGCTCGGCAGACCACGATTGACAAGATGTACGCCAGGGAGAAGTTGGTCGAGTTCACAAACACGTGGCTTCAGTGGATCTACGTGAAGAAGTTGCCATTGAACGCCTTCTGTGGTCCGGAGTTCCAAAGAGTGCAGCAGGCAGCAAAGAGAGTGCCTCGCTTTATCCAGTTCCGGTTTCCCTCCTACAGGGTTACAGCGGGGGCCGGTATCCCTTCGCAGAGGGAGAAGGTGGCGACGATGGTGAGCGAGGTGCGCGCCACTTTCTGGCACAGCGGTGCCACTATCCTTTCCGACGGGAGGAAGTCGTGCAGCGGCAAGCCGCTCGTGAACTTCCTCGCCGGGGGCGCCAATGGCGCCCTGCTATACGCCACCGTCGCACGTGATGGGTCGGTCCGAGACACAGCGGACGTCGTGTACCGTAGATGGTGGGCCATCATCTTGTCCTTTCCTGCAAAGGACGTGATCGGCTTCTGCACAGACTCCGCCAGTAACTATACGGCGGCAGCGTGCAGGTTCGCCACAGACCCCGAGCCTGACATCAGGAGGATCACTTGGCTCCCCTGCTCCACCCATGTCTGCAACTTGATGTTGTCAGATATCGGGACGCGAGTCGTGTGGGTCAAGGAGACCATCATCCTCGCTCGAGCGCTTGTGCGATTTATTAAATCGCACGGCGCTGCTCACGCCCTGTTTAGGAAGGTGAGCCCTCGCGTTCAGCTCGTTGAGCCCGTTGAGACACGGTTTGCATCGGTTTTCCTAATACTGACGTGTCTCAAAGGCCGACGAGACACGTTGGAGAGCATGTTGCACGGGGATGCTTGGGCACGCATCCCATGGGATCGCGCCCACGTATCTCAGGCGCAGTGGGTGCAGCAGCAGATCCGGGACGGGGAGTTTTGGCAGCGTGTCCATTACGCCATCCTAGTCATGTCGCCCGTCCACCAGCTGTTGCGCAGGATGGATAGAGGTGGGATGATGATGTCCGTCATTTACGAGTGGAGTCAGCATCTGCTGCAGTTGATGAGGAGGGTCGACGTGCCGACGGACATGATCGAGCCGTGCGTGCGTGAGGTTGCCATCTGCAACCTCCACATGCTAGAGCCCGCACATATCGCGGCCTACCTCCTCAACCCTCGTCGACGGTCCCTCACGTATTACCATTCGCTACAGACGACCGCCGACGACCGTCTTGTGGTCGAGGAGTGCGACAGATTTCTCCTGGCGCAGACCAGCGGCAATCCGGTCGGGTTATTGTACAGAACCGTGAGGGACCAGATGAGGGTGTTCCACTCGAGGCGAGGGGATTGGGGAGATCGTGACCTCTCCGATGTCGACGCGGCAGATTGCAGGGGGGACAGCGAGACTGAGCGATGTGCAGTGTGGTGGTTTGAGCATGGACGTGCCCACCCGGAGTTGCGCACCATCGCCATCCGTGTCATGCACTTGTGGACGTCTGCCTCTCCAGCGGAGAGGAACTAGGCGGAGCACGAGCGTGTCAGCACGGCGAGGCGCTGCAAGCTTGGGTTCGCCAAGCTTGCACAGCTGGTTGAGATTGCCACCAATCTCAAACTGGCCTCGTGCGCACAACAGGGTGGTGGCTACGTGTTGCCATGAGTTATGGGAAGCGGTCGAGGGGGGACGGCGGCAGAGGAGGAGGATGAGGAGGGAGATGTGGAGCCTGAGGTGTGGGGAGCGCGACCTGATGGCAGTGTTCTCGAGCAGGAGATCCAGCGGCAGATTGTCGCTTTCCGTGACAGTCGACCGTCCAGAGCCCGTTCAGTTCGGGACGTGTTCGGCAATAGAGCGACGGAGCTGCGACCGTGGCTGGAGGGTGGGGATGATGTGGACGCTGCTGCGGCAGACGACGACATCGACGACGACTGGACTGACGATGATAACACGCCGCTGAGTCGCGACCCGACGGCTGAGCGAGTGTACTTCACTTACGGTGGGGGTTGTGACGGTACGGATTCATTCACATCAGTTATCACTGGTGATGTGTCATCGACCGCGCCGGCGAGTGGCAGCAGCGGAGCCGACGTTGGTCGTGGAGGACGTTCGCATACGGAGGTTCGCGTGGACGACTCGGGGGAGCAGCAGCCACGGGGAGGTCTTTGGCAGACAGGAAGGCGTTGGGAGGTTAGGAGCGACAGCGAGGCGGAGGGGGAGGCCGAGGATGAGGAGGTGCCCCTTTGCGATCGTCGCTTCTCTCCCTCCCATTATCCGATCTCTGCACAGCCCGAGGGGGAGCCACTTAGGCGTTCGGAGAGGTTGGCGTCGGCAGCAGGCAGAGACTGGACACATGACGACGAGGATCGTGGGGGGGAGAGGACTCCTTCCGACGCCGGTATCCGCCCCCGCTCGTCGTTGGTGCTCCGCACACAGGACTTCAAGGACATAGGGCTTGGTGGGAGCTTGGGAGATTTTAGTGTCGAGGGACGTCGACGTGCCTCACCGCAGGATGTGCGCACAGACATGGACGTTGGGCGGGGCCTTGTTGAGACTGAGGAGGAGAGGGATGCCCGTTTGGACCGAGAGGAGGAGGAGCGGCTGAGGAGTTTGCCACAGTGGGAGGGTCAGTTCGCGTATCTCGACGAGCAGCGTCGGCAGAGGGACTTAGAGACAGGAGGGGAGGGGAGCCGTGACGTCGACGACTCGGGTGTCCCTGAGGAGGCGGTTCAGTGGGAGTTCGATTCTGAGGGGCAGGATGTCGCCGCGGGTATCCCTGAGGGGCAGGATGTTGTCATGCGCGGTGGGTCCCCTAGTGGGGGCCGTGGCGACAGCAAGACCGCGGGTGATGAGGGACAGGGTGCCGCAGTGTGCGGCAGAGGAGAGGGTGGACCCGGTGGAGATGGGGATACCGCGGGTGTCGGTGGAGACGATGGACCGGACGGCGACGATGATGACGACCACGGTCCAGAGGACGATCCGTATAGGCTCGCCTTGGTGTTGAGGGACCCCACGGTGCCTCCCTTGCGCCCTGACGACACAGCGCACACTTTCTTCGACGCCGACGCTTTGGCGCATGCGTTGACGGATGACCCTTTCGCACACGTGAGCCGCAAGGGCGGCAAGCAGCGGGCCCCTGGGAGGGTATATTCACCGCCGCCGTTCACAGTGCAGAGCCCTCACTGGTCGGGTTCGTCGCTCAGCGGCGTTAGAGGGAGGGAGTCCGGTGTGGGTGACGTGGGGTCCGGCAGACGCAGCGACGACGGCAGAGATAGTGCAGGATCGATGCCTCCACTGCCCGCACGGACTCCAGAGGCCAGGGTCGACACCGGGGACCGGACGGTGGCACCCGAAGTTGCACACAGTGGCGGTTCCCCGCCGCCAGTCCGAGGAGGTGTGGGTGGCGGATGGTCAGCTGTTCGTCGGGTCGGGGACCGGTTGTGGGCGGATTACGAAGCCGGGAGGGGCGTCTTCACGGGACGTTCGCCTGTTCAGACGCAGGCTGCGGAGGGTGGGTCCGGGCGTCCGAGCCTGCAGATGGCAGGCCGCATGCTGGGTTTATCACGAGCGGAGACGAGGAGGACATTGGTCCTCGAGGCCGCAGGGACATCCACGGATAGGCTGCAGGGAGAGCAGTTCACATCGGGCGAGGAGGGGTTGTTGATGCGTCCCGGGACGAGAAGACAGCATGGCCTCTCGGAGGTTGAGGCTCGACTCGCTGCAGAGGTCGCCGCTGGGCAGGCGGCATTGGACGCGATTCAGAGTGAGAGAGAGAGGGGGATTACTGCACAGGCGGAGGAGGACGAGGACACAGACACTGAGTCCAAGCCGATCGAGACTGCGGCCCGCAGACACAGGGCACAGGTGGCCGCGGCGGCCACTGCAGCACATGCGGCATACGTCAGTGGGGCACGGGGCACAGGTGCCGGAGGGAGAGGAGGGCGCCGGGGAGGATCGCATGACCGCCAGTCCTCCGGGAGAGGCCGCGCGCACTCTGGTGGGAGATGATGACGTCCGTGGTGGGTTTTTTTTTTTCATTAGTTTTTTTTTGTTTTTCGCGTGGCTGTACAACCTGGACGCTCTGTCGGCAGGGTTGTTGCATATTTATGTCGATGTTGTTCCATGGAGACGACGACAGTATGTGGACATTAGGGTTTTTTTTTTTTTTTTTTGCTACTCGGTTGTACAATAGAGACGACGCCCGTCGACGGGTCCAGTTTTTTTTTGGTACTCTGTTGTGTAGCAGAGACGATGGGTCCAGTTTTTTTTTGCTACTCGTTTGTAGAGTAGAGACTACGGGTCCAGTTTTTGGCTTCAGCCTTGTACATACGCATTTCCATTGAAATGCTTTGTCATATATTTGCTCTTGTTCTTGTTCCTCCGCCAACATTGGTCTTGCATCTGAGTCACTGTTGTTTTGTGATTGTTTTCTGCTCTGTTGTCGTGATTGTTGCAAATTATGTGCTTCTCCGATGCCACGCACCTGCATGTCATGGATGCCTCTATTATGAATGTGCTGTTAATTTTAGATGCGACATAGGGATGATGTGTTAATGAATGTGTTCTTACATAAATGATGTGCTAATGAATGTCCATCAGTCTCATGAGTGAACACACACTATGACACACTTGCCTGTTATCATTGTTTGAAACTTGTGGTTCGCTGCACTGTGATTGATTTTCAATGTGTTTTGACATTGGTATGCCAAACAGGGTCTGACTTATGATTGCCATGAATGTGTTGTTTTAAAATAAGCGATGAACTGTCATCGCCCTCATTAATGAAACCGACGCCTACCTTTCAGTGCGTGAGGCCCTGATCTGCCTGGGGTCTGCCATCTGCAGCCCCGTCTAGCTTCGACCCGGTCAGGCCGCACGGCCCGCCCCAACCAGGCCCTTATCCAACCCACGTTGGGCCGCCCCCGCAGGGGTCAAATATTTTTTTTAATATTTTTCCACTGTTCTTGACCCTCCTCCCTGCGACCCCGCATCGACGAACCTTCACACGGGGGCCGCTGGATTTTTCGCGGGCCACCCTTCCAGGGTCTTGTGCAGGACCCCCCCGTTTTTTTTTTTTTTGACGCCCTGTCACTTCGAGGGGGTGCCCCCCCCCCCCCCCCCCCCCCCCCCCCCGCCCCCCCCCTTTTTTTTTTTTTTGACGCCCTGTCACTTCGAGGGGGTGCCCCCCCACCCCCCCATCCCAAACCCGCACCCCGCTCCGAAAACCGCCCCCCAGATCGGCTGACACCGAGGCCGAAAAAACTCGGCTGGGCCGGCCGCGGCCAGCGTGCAACATAGTGCTAAAGTACCAAGAGGCGAGGAATCACTCCGTGGAAGGAGTCGGAACCGGCAAACGGGCCTAAGTACGGACAAGTCGCAGTTCTCCCACGTGGCAAGAAGCGGACCGGTGGCAATGGGTGACGGAGGTAACCTCACTACCCCTCTTTCTCCCGTCTCCTCTTCGTCTATTCTCTCTCTGCCTGATAAATTTTGCTATTTTTGCGAAGCAATATCTCGCGTATACTCTATCTCCATGTGTCCTGACGGGGGAGGGTATGAGGAATGGATAGACTGCCGACAGTATGTCGCACGAGCCCATGGCTCGTGCATCCAATACCGAAATGACAATAAACCGTGGTTATGCCCCTTGTGTCGGGTTGACAAGATCCCGACCGAGGCTCGCTTTCTGGATGCCACGTCAGAAGGTTTGGAAAAGACCTGGAAAATTCTAAGGGCGAAGTATGGACCGACATGGCTTTGATTGCCACCTTAGTTGGTAACCCCCTCCAGGATTTCACCAAGGAAGATCGGAGGAGGGCTAACGAAAGGGCTCGGGATTATCGATGGATAGAGGGTAGGCTAGAAAAACGGAAAACGGACGGCAGTGGGATTTGGATGGTTGTACCGCATCCGTTCATGAGGTACGACTAGGTGAAGACGGCACATGAAGAAACGGCAGCCCATTTTGCCGTACGGATTACCGAATCAGCAATCGACAAAAATGAGTGGTATTGGTCCAATATTTGGGACGACATGAAATTCACCGTCGCAAACTGTCAGGTTTGCGCTGCTGATAAGGCATCGATCCAGCCGCCAAGATCGATAGTTCCAACGATAGTTAAGCGACCGTTCCAAAGGGTGAGTATGGATACTACCGATATCGTGGTACCCCCTGGTCCTAATAGTTGTGAATATTCAATCCTGTTGGTTTTTGTCGACCATTTTTCGAAATAGATCGAGGCCTACCCGTGTCGCACGTGGCAAGCCGCCGAAATCGCGCGATATGTTAACCGTTTCCTCGGGATGCACCAGGATACGGAAGAGATCCTGACTGATAACGGGGCAGAATTCAGGGGGGGAGTATTGAAGAACCTGGTCATACAAGGTGTCGTTGTGCGGAACACCGCGCCCCATATGTCACAATCCAATGGGCTGGTAGAAAATGCCAATAGGGTGATAAAGACAGCGCTGCGACGAAACATCGCGGCACGGGATCCGAGGCCCTAGCCCGATATCGCCGACCACATCCTAGCGGTCCATTGCGGAACGCCCCACGAATCGACAGGCCTGAGCCCCTTCCAGTTAAGGACTAATAGCGTCGCTTGCGTTTCCATACCAAGCCTCCCCGACGAATCAACGCTTAACCGCCGGCCCACAAGGGCCACAGCGCGAGACAAGGCCAAGCGGCACCTGGAGTTAATGGAACGGTCCCTCCCAAGGTTAGCCCTAAAATGCCAGAAAATGACCGAGTTGGCCCATGACCGACAGGTCCGGAGCTACGAGGCCCGGAACGAGAACGCAGGTCCACGGCCCCTGTACAAATTGGGGGACATCGTGCAAATAAGGAAATGTGCTCGCCAGGGTAAGCTAGCACCACGATTCTTCGGGCGATTCCGCGTGATTGAGCTCGGGCCTCACGACGTGAACACCGTGCGGCTTGGGCCTGAGGACCTGAGGTCTCCGATAGCAGATCGGCTCGTCCGATCATCCGCCACGTGTCCTACCTTCGTCCCCTCCCTCCTTCCCCATCTTCGCATTCATCCGATTCCTCTTCCGCTGTGGAAGAGGACGACGACTGCTTATCGCCTGTCTCTCTGTCTCCTTCTCGTTCTCTCTCTATCACTCCATCGCCATCGCCACGAGTTCTCTTACGGAGCGAGCTCTCGGCAATTCTCCGCTGGTGCCACGGTGTCACATCTCAGCGATTCGACAAGTTCATCATCCGCGGCTCAATCCTGATCTTCGACGACTTGCGCAGTTCTTCTGTACCCAGGGAGTGTACGCGGCGGCTGAGTTTCGTTTTGCAGGAAATCCCCGGGCGGTACTTTTAGCAGAGGCGATAGGAGTTCATCGACGATCGGCTCCGGGAATCATCCACGTGTCTAAGGTGGTCGCCTTCAGTGGTGACATCAGCACCATTAGCCCGCTGCGGCATATAGCTATCAAGACGACGCTCCGGCTGTGGGCACAGCAGTTGGCGGCGGAGTGGAATAATTGGCTCACGCCCCACGGAGACAACCTTTCTCCCACAAATGGTGTCGATTTCGACGGGATCCGAACTTTCCAGCACGAGCCAGCGGTGGTGCTCCCGGAACTCGTCCCCTTCCCCCGTCCTCAATGAACCCATCCCCAATCCCCACTTTCGACCTCCCCTCCTTCTTCCCCACTTTCTGGCAATTCGGAGTCCATCCACATCTTTCCTTTTGACTGGAATCACTTGTTGTCCCCATTCTCGATCCCCTGCAGTGGAGACGTTGGCGAGAGCACTTCGTTGAGCTATTGGTGTGTCTGGTCGGAGTAAGGGTCACGTGGACGCAACACGGAGATCACCGCCAGTGGGCCGAGTACCTCGAGCTGCTTATCATCCAGGCGTGGCGAACGGAAGTGGAAGGCGATCTTCTCGGATTCCTCTTCGGATCGGTGCGGCCCAACCACCGCCAACCGATCGTACACGAGTTAACGGTCCCCCTTGCACAGCTGGTCGACGATCTCCCTCTTGAGATCGTCTCGCAGAGCGACGACAGCCTGGTCCTGCACGTTCTTACGCGGACCTTGGCGCCATATCTTCAGTGGTCGGCGTGCTTGGAGGAACCAGGGAGCCGCCGCAACCCGCCATCACAGCGCGATTACCTGGACCCGCACGAGATAGTCGATCTCGCCTTCTTCCAAGATCGGACGGCTTCCAAGAACGAGGAGGTAGAGATTGAAGCGGAAGAAGAAAGCGCAGAAGACGAAGAAGAAGTCGAGGAAGAGGCCGACGACGAAGAAACCCCCGAGGAAGGAAGGTACAGTGAGCACAGCGAAGGGGAGCAAAGTGAAGCGGAGGAGGAAGAAGACCAAGACGACGACGAAGAAGAAGAAGATCGGGAGGAGTTAGAAGAGTCGGAGTACGAAGGATTCGAGGAGGAAGTGCGCGACGAGGCTCGGGCGCAGGCCAAGGCACAAAAGAGGGAAGAGATCGCGGCCGGGAAGCGACAGTTGGAATTCGCTTGCGCAGCCGGTCAGCCGCGCACCGACGATCCTGCCCGAGATCCGGAGCCACCCAAGCCCGAGGATGGAAAGACAGCTGCCGAGACTTCGACCGCATCAGCGAGACGGCGACGAAGCCGATCCCCCTCCCCCTCCGCCTCCGACCGCCCACCAACTCGTCCACGTACCGATGCGGGGCATCGGGCTTCGTCCCCGGTTGTTATCCCGCCATCCCCTTGACCAACTCTCCTTCCGCCAGATCTCTACTCGTGTCACCTTCCCCGCCAACCTCTTCCCTATCGATACCTTCGCTTTTTCTACACCACCCGTCTCGCTGTCACTGTTCATCCCCACCCTTCTACCCGATGTGCCCTCCCTGTCTTCTGCCTCCATATCCTTTTTCTTAGTGCCGCGTGGCGAGGCCACAACATGATCGAGGTATACTGCATGATTACGGGGACTATCCCCACATGCCAGAACCATGATCACTTTCGAGCGGCCCTCTTCCGAACCTTCACCACCCTCTACCCCGACTACCTCGCGTCCCTCCCCCACACAGGCAACCGATTCCCCCGCTTCTACCGGATCGTTCGCTATCAGGAACTTCCGGAAACGGTGGCCGGAATGGAGAGCTTCCTTCCCCCGCTACCCATCAACCCTCCCCCTCGCCACCCCTCCATGTACCGTCTCCCCTTTCCCCTCCCCGGCGCTCGCTGATGCATAACTAGTGGGCACATGTCATGACGGCGACACGTGTAATCCCCTCCTTCGATTGTCAAAGGCCGTCCCTGAGGAATTAGTAGTAGAGCAGTGCTGCCACGTTGGATGACGTCCACACTCATTCGAACGGTAAGTGGCATAGAGAGAAGAGCTCCGCGTGTCGATCGATTAGAGAGATCGACACGTGTCAACAAGCAAGCAGGAGCTTGCTAATATTGAAACCCCCTGGGCGTCACATATGTGACGAACCACCTTCTGTAGCGCGCGATTTTCCGCGCGGTTGCAATGAGGGGTCCTAAGCTGGGAAGGTTGGGCCAATTATGGGAGATTGGAATGGACGGGAAATTGCATCAGTACCCTCGCTTCTTCGTCTTTTGCGTCGATTCTTTTTGGATGGCTGAGTTCGGAGCTGGGTGTGTCCCGGGACGGATGATTGATTGGTCGGATGGCTGGCGCGCCGCAAGGCACGCAATTAATAAATGTTGACATCATTTCTTTTTGGTTCGGTTTCGGAACTTTTTTTTGGCACGGACATCGCACGGAAATTTGCTTCGTTCTTTTTTTTGAATTTTCTTTTTGAATTCTTCTTCGAATTTTGTCGAGCCCGATGGCTCTCGAAATTTCGGACTTTCCTTTCGGAACCTGTACTTTTGCTTTTTCGCATTAGTTAGGAAATTAGGAATTTGGTAATTAGGACTTTTTTTGCCGCGCGGCGCCTTTTTGCTTACGCGCTTCTTTATGCGGCTGCAACGGAATTCTGATTAGTCGGCGTGTTTAATCGGGTGTGTAACTGTAATTTTGGGCTGGCGCCATTGTAACTGTATCTCTCTTCTTGCGCTTCATCTTTCCCGCCCTCCTTCTCTTTCTTTTGCTGCGTTTTTGTAGCTACGGACTGCGTGCTCAGACCGATGCGTGGAGAGTGGATACGTCCCCCACGGCGCGGCCCGGTCATGCAGAACGCAGACACTCCCTCTGTAATCTCCCTCCTAAGTCCTGGTGATTCCGTGTTCTTCGCGCATGCATGCACACTATAAATTTCGACTGCGAGATTAGTTAGCTCTCTTAACCAGTAGTTGGAAGCTCGGGGTTGCGCGATCAGAGAGGGTCGGCACACGAGCGAAGTAAGAGGTGAGTAGAGCAGGAGCCGGGCGACCCGACGAGCTGGTGCCAAACGCGCGGGGTTGACGCGAGTCACGACGGACTGTGGGCGAGGGCGAACCTGACGGTTGCGGGAGGACTAAGCGGGGTGACGGCTTCGTGGGTTGGTGCGCGACGACGAACTGTCCGCATCGGAGAGAGAGAGAGAGAAAGAGGGAGCTGAGGTTTATGGACGCGGTTTTGCTGTTTCTTTTATCTTTTTTCCCTCCTGTCTCGTGTACATAAATTTTGATTTCGGCTCCGAGCGATTCGCCCGTTCTCTGTTTTTCGAAACCTAGACTTGGGTTTTTGCTCACAATTGTCTTCGGGATTTCCACCTCTGATGTACTATGCGTATGTTGCTGAATGAATGAATGTATGGATGCCATATTTGGTTGCTTGTCTTTTTACCGGATCCTTGTCTTTGCTTTTGTTTATTGCAATTGATGCACTCGTGAGTAGGATAGGAATTTTGCACAATCGGTAATCTTGTCCTTGTCCTTGCTTGTCTTTTGATTGAGCTGATTGTGGTCGTTACATCTTGCATGCTCAAAACAACATGGAGTGATTAGATAGTCAGATGCCTGGCCCAGCGAACGCCGCGCGAGGACGCGTGTAAACACAACTTGACCTGCGCATTTACACGTGCCCCCGTGTGTCGATTCGCCCATACAGGCGGCAGAAATACTGTCTGCCTGGATACGGCCATCCAGGGCCTGCGACGGAGCAATCATCCCGGGCGAACACGTGTGAGCACGACTTGATTCGCACCAGCCTGCACGTGCTCACACGAGGTGATCGTGATCGCCACGGACCCGCCCTTAGGCAACTCATAACTCCGCAATGACACAATGACACGATCCTGGAATTCCGACTCATCATACGACCCGGATTACTTCACCCCTTGGATAAACGAACTCCTCCGACAGAGATACCCTTGCCTAATCGAGAACCGACTGTGTCCTCGTGAATTTCACTGCGCCACCACTAGCGACCCCCGGTGCTCTGATTTCCCCTCTCCAGACAATACCTACTACTTCACTCACCCCAGATTTGTCGTTATCTCCACCAGTTTCCCTCCCTTTCGCCTTCTTCTTCCGTATCATCAACTCAGTGTCGTCCCGTGGCCGGCCATAGCCCCATACTGGCCCAATACGCCCTGCGGGAACTGCCGACGATGCGGCGAGCAGAGAACCCCGGAATCCCGGAGGCCCAACCCAAACGCGCGACGACCGGCGCCACGCGGCAACTCCCGACGGCCTGACTCATCGGAACCCCACCTACCCCGAAGGGACCCGCCCGCAAACCGCCGTCCCCGAAACCAATGGCTCGCTCGGCCTTGAGCGACCCGCGCATACCATCTGCCTGGTAACCGGAGGCGTTCCGCCCCCTCCGCCAAATTGCCCTCGTGCCCCCGAAAGACCCTGCCACAGGAGATCTCAGTTCTGACCTGGGACTCCACCCCCCCACTTTCCCAAAAATCCTTGGCACACCCCTTTTCGCACTTCCAGGCCCACATCCTGCTCCGATCAGGAAGTCGCGCTGGGCATGAGGTTGGGTGTCACAGCGGGATGGACAGGCTGCAAGGGACTCCTTCCTGATTCATCCCCTTTCTCAATCTTGTTTGTATATAGTTTCCTCATCTATCTTGTCCTCTCTCTACTCTATGTATAGTACGGGTGGAACACTAACCAAACTTGTAACTGTCCCCAGCCCACGGGCCCACGGGGTAGGTGGGAACCACAGCAGCAGCCCCTCATCACGATGATGGGGGGTGATCAGGGATTGCCGACAAGGAAACCGGCGATGCTAGTGCCGAGCATCATTGTCCAGTCTGTCGCACCTCCCCCTACCCCCCTCCAACCCCACATTAGCAGTGGCCATTATCATTGCTGCATAGCAACCAACAACATTGGCCAAGGTCCTACCAATGATGTCTTGGAGGGCCAACCGGTTATCTCTAGTTATTTTTAGGGCCTGACTCTTTTTTTTTCCCTTAAAAGTCCAGGGTGTTGCAGAGGCCAGTCAGTGTGTGCACAGTGATCACCTGGAACTGTGAGCCGTGGGTGTCCTGGAATATGAGACCACCTCCCAACCCATCCTCACGTCAATACTCCTAGCGCACCCCCTATCCCACTGTTCTACCTCAGTGTTACCAGCACTCAGGACCACTGCCCTACCAACGGGCAGGCAACTTGGACTGAACAGCAGTGATAGGCACCAGGGCTGATAGATTGCCCAGCCCTGGTGGAAGCGGAATCGGACGAACCTTGTCGAATGGGAACTTCGGACGCCAGGCCCAGACAATGAACTACAGGCCCCATATATATATAGCCACCAGACAGTTCTATCCGAATGTCAGTAGGAACTGCACCCAATGGCACCCTATCCAACCTACCTTACTGCAGGCACTAGACCCCACCAGTGACTAGCTCCCCAGCCTGTTCTTTTGTGTATATATTCTGTGAATCTGTGTAGACAGTATCATGTGTGGAAACTTGTGTATGTAACCTGTAAGCGAGATATAATTCGCAAACTATGTGTGTATGCCCGAAAGCTATGTGTACTCTGTGAATCATGTATCAAGGAGAGAACGGGCCAGCTGTGCGAGATATAATTCGCAAGCTATGTGTACGCTGTGAATCATGTATCAAGGAGAGAACGGGCCAGCTGGACAAGGACCCCCCCCAAGGACCGAACCAAGCTTGAACCCGTGACCTTGTAACATGTAATCCAAGACTCTACTGTATGAGCAACTACCGGAAATGGAATGATCGTGTGATATGCCAGACTGGGGAGAACATCAGAACCACCATCTCCACTGCTGCTATACCCTATTTCCATCCTACTAGCTAGCCCCTTCACTAATAGGACGCCTGATATCCCACCATCTACTTATCCCATTCACCTCTTTTTTTGAAAAAATTAAGGAGAATTCCAAGAAATTTAGAAAAATTGGAGAAACGAAAATCAGAGCTGAACCCACCACCAATCCAAATCAGACCCTAACCACAGGCGAGAAACAGCCACTCAAGCTTTTTTTTTTTTTTTTTTTTTAACCGGGCCCAGTGCCCAAGGCTGATATTTCAAAGAACAAGCGAGGTCGGATCCTCACAATTTTCCGGGAGTGACCAATCCTGGGAGCCTTACCCAGGTTCGCTTTTTACGGGACCCCGACTAGGGACCCAGAAATGCAGAGTTATCAAAACCAAAATGAGAAAGAAAACTGCCTCTTCAGCTATAAAAACCGCCATCTTTATCAAGATTTACCAAGCAGCTATGCCAAATCTTTCCCATACTATACAGAAGGAGACACACCTCATCACCCTGTTCCCTCGTCCCCTGTCTTTTAATAACCATTAATGCATCTCAACCAGTGCTAGGCGGGATGGGGGAAAAGGATCTGCAAATTCTTTGGGGTCCCTGAGTGAGGCGCCTGGCTGAAGTGAGAACCAATCTTTGAAACG